CCGAATATTCGGTAAACAGATAATCGAAACGCAATATGTTCCACTACGCGTACACGTTTCACGCAACATGAATTGTCAAAATAGTTCGCTCGATGGAGGATAAATCGGGACGAAACGATAAAACGAGGCGACCGAATCGAATCGAGAAGACTATCGCGGTTCCGCTCGCCGGAAGTGGAGGATTTCGGTTGGCGATGGAGTTGAAAAACCCAACGTTGGCGGTGGCCGACAGTTCGAATTCCATCCGTCGATGCGAATTCCTGCGGAGTTCACGTTTGTTGTAAAATATCCACGCTCGGATGAAGCGTGTCACGACGAAGCGTGATTTCATTACGTTGGATAATTTGCAAGCAAATTAAAGAGACGAATAATAACGTACGTGTGACAACCACGAAATTGTTAATTTTTTAAGATTACGAAATTGAAAAATGAAAGCCGTTATTCTGGTGATTGTGCCGATCTGTGAAATACTTGCCAGCTCTCGTTGCATCGTCTTGAAAAGATTGCAGAAGATACGTAGAGTGATGAAATATGATCAATGTATGCTTCAAAAAATTTCTGATGATAATATATTTATATAGGATTTTGGAACGTGAATGTAATAATGTTCAAAATTTATTTCTAGATTAAATATATATACATGAAACTAGTTGATTAATTTAAAAGAAGAAAAGATACGATGAAATTTTATATATATATATATAAATGTGAATATTAATCTAGATCGAGATCGTTGACCTTTCCACGAGCTCGAGCAAATAGTATTTTCTCACCGGAATAGCGCACGTACGGCTGTGAATAAAATCTCACCGCGAAATTGTCGTCGCCGGACGCGAAAAAGCTCGAGGAAAAACATGAAGAAACGAGTGAGCATGGAGCAACAGTGATAAACAGTCGACGAAATGGGGTGGGCACTCGGTTGACCGCAGATTGTACATTAAACATCGTTTTCCTCCACGATGACCTCGTCAAGCACGGTTGGACTGCCATTTTTCTGGGGATGGTTGATAAGGATAATGCGTGCACGTGATGGAACGTCGACGAGGAAACGAAATTGTCAGAAAATTGTCACAAATGAAATTATGGGAACCGTATATATCGCCAAGCTGATTGCAGTTACTCTGTAATTTTGGTTGTTTGTGAAAGAGAGAATTAATATAATATTGTGAGAATATTTCAAACGTTGAATCGAGGATTGACAAGGTAGATTGCGAAGTTTGCTTACGAATAGTGAAAGAAATGGAAAGGTGAAGGGCTAAAGTTTGGATAGAGAAAATTTACATATTTTTTTATTTTTTCCTTTTCAATTGTAATAGAACAATTATTATTCAGAATTTCAGTAAAAATTTGTTTACAAGTTCTTTCTACAATTTTATTTCTCGTTACTACTTCTCTTTCGCTTTTATTCGATCCAACTTCTGTTAAATACGCGAAATTTGTGAAGCGTGTAATTAACGCCGTACTATTGTATACTTTAATGTTGCAACACTTGCGATAAAGTTACAAAGCAACGAAGCATAGTAAAAGCAACGAAGCTTGTATTTAATATATTGCAAAAGTGCATTGAACATCTTTATTTCGTAACGATATACAGTTTCAATTTTCTATATTTTATATAATAATAATCGTAAATATATATATATTGATCAGAAGTTCTGGATACAATGAACGACATAAATTAAGATTAACTCGACATTTCGGAAGACATTTCTAATCCATCGTGTATTATCTTTTACGAAATCGCGAGGGAAACAGAGACGAGAGACATTGTCCAGAGTTTAATATATCTTCCAATGACCGTCTAAAATTCAAAAAGTGAAAACAAAAGCTTGATTTATAGAGAGCAAGTAAAACGTTTCTTCCATTTTCTACAGACGAATCGAGCGATTTCTGTCTTTCGCCGTTACTTTCAGATTTTTCTTTTAGATTTCGTTTTTTTATTTACGATAATAATGCGATATAATAATAAAAACGTGAAATTAAATAAATTTAAATCTTCGAAAACTATTATCATTACAATTATATGAAATCACAAATGAATCTTCAAATTTTTTCAAAAAAAACATGAAAAACAACTAAAAATTTTGTCATCAAAACCTATTTAGAATACAGAGGAAATCATACCTTTAAAATTGCTTTTTGTTTTATCCCGATATCTCGATCCATTGCGAAGATATAAAGACTCAAAGTGTCCACTAAAACGGTGCAGAGTTATGAATTGGAGCGCCATCTTTATTTCTCTTGGAAATGCGTACTACGTTTTTCCAGGAATCGCGTCTGTCGCTTGTCTGCAGTTTGGGATAGGTCAGCGAGACGAGGCGCGAGCGAGAGGTCCGAGTAAGCGACAAGAACAGAGACAGTAAACAACTAAAAATTACCCTTTTCTTTACACGACGATATCTCGGGAACCGGGAGGCGTATCGGGATAAATGAAAAAGCGTTTCAAAGAATAAGATTCAGCGCTTCTAACGATCGTTCACTCGTTAACCGGAAGTCGCTATTCCCGGCGTTAGAGCGATTCAAAGTTTTTCTCATTTTAATAGAGTTTAATCGGATGGGAGACAAGCGATTAAAAATGGGGGGGGGTTTGCACGATGATATCTCGGGAACCGGAAGTCGTATCGGGGTAAATAAAAAAGCATTCTAAAGAGTAAGATTCCACGTTTCTAACGATCGTTCACTCGTTGACCGGAAGTCGCTATTCCCGGAGTTAGAGCGATTCAAAGTTTTTCTAATTTTAATAGAGTTTAATCGGATTCAAGACCAGCGATTAAAAATTCTCTTTTCTTTGCACGATGATATCTCGGGAACCGGAAGTCGTATCGGGGTAAATAAAAAAGCATTCTAAAGAGTAAAGTTCCGCGCTTCTAATGATTGTTCACTCGTTAACCGGAAGTCGATATTCTCGGAGTTGTAGTGATTCAAAGTTTTTTATAATTTTAATAAGATTCAATCGCGAGTTTTAACGTAGGTGATAGATACATTCATTTATGGAAGAATTTCCCTTGTAAGGATCCTAATTTACCGAACTTATATCAGTTGTTCGATAATCCTCTTTTCTATTAGTTTCACGAAAATATAAATTGCTTGTCCATTGCCTCGTGCTTCGTTACAATTTCAAAAACATCATTACGAAATTACGTTACTTTCCACCCGTCCGATATTCCATCATCCTCGCATGAATCGTATCGTTATTATAACGTTTCCAACTCACGCCTCAATAATACAACTCCCAGGGCGATTTTGTCACCGATAGTTGTTGATTTTACCACCGTTTAACGTAGGCGTAATGAAGCACGGGAAGTTATGCAAGCGCATACTGGACCACCACGCGGTGGATATGCACTTAGCCCGGGCGAAATTAAGGGGCATCATCGTTTTAATTAAAATCCTCCTGGTCGCGAACCGCCATCAGTTTATGTAAATCGCGCTGATAAATGGGCCGGCCGTGATATACGATGAAGTTTG